ATGCATATATGTATATATATGTAAATATGTATATATGTATATGTACATATGTACATATATATATATATATATATATATATATATGTGTGTGTGTGTGTGTATTTATATATGTATATATATAAATATATATATATATTTATATATAAATATACATGCGTACTACTTATATGCCATCTTATAAAAGCTTCGCAATTACACAATTATCCTCATAAGACTATATATATATATGTATAAACTACTTACATGACTGTATATACATACATAGTTTCATACTTGCTACTTATAAGACTATATATAAAAGGATACATACCTACTTATGAATATATATGTACATAGATATATACTTACTACTTATAATAATAGTCTTATGCTAACGAACCCTTGCTTCCGGCCCCCTCGGCCACTCCTCGTTCAGGCTGACAGAGTCCTGAGCTTACTTTAATTGCCCACCTATTTATCCCCATGCACCAGCGCCACTTAACTCACTCGCCAGCTCAGCACAGTACTAGTAGCGACGGTATATGCACTATGCACCACGTACAGAACATACCAACCACCCACCGTGCAGCCTAGTACATAGGCCCAATTGACTTGGACGTTCATTGCCGAGCTCATAACCTCCTTCAGTGTGTTGAATACTCGTTGTGTCACTTGAAGCAGAGGGGTGTGGAAGGGCACACATCGATGTTGTCCCTGTTAAATGACAGATAGTCGACTCTACCCAAGGCTGTTTCCCGTGCCCAATGTCTTGTACTGATTGGGGTTGCTGCTGCTTCCTATTCTCATCCCAATTCAGTGCCACGAATGATGCGCGCCACTTTCAGGACCGACAGGCGTGTTTTGGGACAAAAGTGCAACTGAACCAGGCCAATATGTGGGTCAACAAAATGGTCGCCATCATTGAGCGACACAGAGACAATCGCACTGATACACCGTAGCATACAACCACAACCATGTTGTCAATCTGTACATCAACAGCAGTTTTCGAACAAACAGCACACAACACAGATACACACAGTACAATTGTACAGGGTAATTTGTGGGTCAGCACACCGACGAGAGCTATTGAACGGTACACAGATATCCGCATTGATTAATCTGATGCGCTCAGCGTGTTTGCATCCCCAGGCAAAACGGTATACTTGTACCGCACTACACAGCTATTAAAAACCGGTATTAACGCAGGATAGCAAACAGTGTATCTACATCGGGATAACAGATAAGAGAATTGTAGCCGTTGAAAGGAACAGAAATCAGTTTATCGAGATCAATAGACGGTACAGAGAAAATTAAATTGTTCAACCTAACGCAGATAGTGCACGTGTAATATCTATTATCGGGAATAATGGAATAGTAAGAATCTCGAACGGTACAAAAGAGACAAGGTCGCCAAGATATCTAACAACCCAATTTACCAACACAGCGACATCTATTCAAGAGAGGCTGTGAGATACTGTGACGATAAAAGTCACTAGAGGGCACGAAGACAAAGCAATTAAGGTCACTAGATATACAGGTACTACCCCTGCTATTGCGAATCGTACAATTGCATCAATCTATTCCTGGATCAATATTGCATAGTAGAGAGAGACGTTGAAATTTGGATAGCACACTACAGTGCACAGTCACACACACACACACCTACTGTGCTTTTTAATACTGATACAGCAACAAAAAGCTGAGTGCGTATCACGTCCCACACCCATCAATTGCATAGAGTATGTATTTACTATTTAGGTTCCTCATTTGTTTTTATAAAAAACTTACAAACAATAATATATTTATTTATGTATTTATTGTTGTATTTTAGGAGGCTATGATTTAGATTGTAAATACTTGTCTTTTTGTTTTTTAAAAACAATTATACAATTATACATACATATACATACATATATATATATTATATAAAATAAAACGGCAAGAATATAAATATTTGGTTTTTATGAATAAATAATAATTTATCAAAAAGATACCAAATTTTTGTTGTTGTTTTTAAATATAAAAACGACATTCAAAACAAAGCGAAATCTTGAAACCACCGTCAAATCTAGCCACCTACACAAACAAACATTTGTTTTTATTGTAATTTTATGTAGCTTATTTGATTTGATTTTGAAGGGCATAAAAATATAAACAACAAAAAATCCGTTGGCGTTTTGATTTTGCAGGTGATGATCTTTGAATCTTTATTCTTTTGAGTTTTCAGGTCTGTCGGGCTGACGGGCTGTCGGCTGGGATTCGGAAAGCGATGCCGGAAGAACTGCACAGTGCTCACTACACACTACACAGTACACAGTACACAGTACACAGCACACTGCACACTGCTAAATAAAGGCTCATAACGTTATGGGGGTACAGGATAGAAGTTGAACGTAAACGCATACTTATTCTATTTTATAAAAACGTTAAACTGGTATAATGTGATCAGAAGAGCCTACCTAAGTTCTCTTATAGGACTGGCTCGTATGGTGAAAATGGTACACACCTAAAACTATTTAGACACGGAAGTTGCACCTATGAGCATAAAAAGGACCGCACATGGAATGAAAGCTGAACGTAAACGTATTTTTATTCATTTTATAAACGTTTAAACGGAAATGGTTTGAGGTTATTATTGACAGCACAGTGCAAACTTCTAAAAAGTAGTAAAAACGGGGTTTCAGTTGAGTTGGAACTTTAAAGTTTGAGCTTCGAAAAATAAAAGATGTCCTCCAACTCAAAGTCAACTTTCGGAATTTCGGATCGAAAACTCTTATTTTCCGGCTATAAACGTACTTTGAAATGCCGCAGCACATTTCAGAAGAATTGATTCCGATATCATTGACCAATAAATTTCAAAATCCATATATGTATAGCCTTCTAAATAAATTCAATACTCATAGTCAGCTATAATATTTACTAATTTAGTAAATATTAGACATAAATCATAATTGATAATACACCCC